ATTGTTGATGGAAGACCGATTGTTGAGCAAATGCAAGAACTCAATAGCATAGCTGATTCTATTGTTGCTTCTGGAATAATGATTGATGAGAACTTTCATGTTGGTGCCATCATTTCCAAGCTTCCACCATCTTGGAAGGACTTCTGTATTAAGCTGATGCGTGAGGAATACCTGCCCTTCTGGATGTTGATGGAACATGTAGGAGTTGAGGAAGAGTCTCGTAACAGAGCCAAACAAGCAGAGGATTCAAAATCTGCAAGCTTTCATGCAGCCAACAATCTAGGCCCGAGGATAAGAGATATGAAGAAACCAGGGGTCCCTTGGAAAAAGCGAGAATCGGAAATGCATGGCAAGCCCTTGATATGTAACTATTGTGGCAAGAAGGACATCTTTCGAAGTTCTGTCGAAATAGAAAATATGAAAAAGATGTGAATGGGAAGCAAAATGGGGAGAATTCAACCATACCCACCGTTTCAAAGGTTAACATAGTTGAGAGCAACATGTAATTAATTGAGATGGATGCTGTTTTCGTAGGCCCAGGTTTTCTGTTCAGTTGTGTTAGGGAACAATCGATGCATCTTTTTACCTTGTAAGTATGGCTTCGAAATTGTTGTTTTATTAATGTACTATTATTGGATACCAATATAAAACATTCTTTGCCTGTGGAAGATAATTGTGAATTGTTTAGAATTGGTAACATATTGCAGAACCTTTGTCACTTCCAAATCTGCCCTTGAGATTTATAGCTTGTTTTGACGGGATTAACTCACTTGCAGTAACACTGCTGCTGTCGACAATCCTTCAGCGGTGACTGCTTTCAGCTGTGGGCTCCATCTGGATCACCTTGTTAGCCCAAGCCCACCCATAAGCCTAAAATATTTTCCTTAAACCCAAATCGGTCACGTCCATTACCAGACTAGTATTGGACTAATCAAGTCCACCAACGAAAAACAATATAAAGGGAAAAATCTAATAACTTTTGGCCTTTTAATTTGATTGGAAGAAGAAACCTGGCTTTTTCTCTATATATCAGGTTAAGGTTGAGATTTATTAAAATAAATAAAAGTCGAAGAAGCAAAAGAAGTGTGAATTATCGCTGTTTTGCCAAAAAAACGTGCTTTACCAAACACCGCGTTTTTTGTGTTACGTTGGGTCCCAGTTTAAGTGGAAAGGTCAAAAAATTCCTCAATTTGTTAAACATCTCATTAAATTCTCCCAAGTGCTGTTGGGACCGCTAGGTGTCGTGTTTGACTCTTACATGTGTATTTCCTGAACTAAACCAATTTTACATTTATTCCGCGTTACTACTAGTGCATTTTGCTTTCAACATTGATTCACTTGCTTGAATGAGTCAAACAATAATTGAATGGCTATGATTTCTTCTTCATGGCTCCAACATTTGCAAGTTTGACCTAAATAATTTATGCTTTGAATTTGACCCATCATCACATGCCAATGCTTTTCAATGTTTTTCTATCTGTTGCTCGTCTTGGTAAAACCACATCCCAACTCCTCATAAACAAGGTGAAGAAGCTTTCAACATAATTAATAATATGTATACATATGAAACTCCATATACAAGAAGCAAAAGAAATGGGGCCTTGGATGTGGACTGTAGGGCAGCGTGGGAGATGGGTAAAGCAAAACAACAAATAGAAAGCAGAAGGCTGAAGCAAAATCATGAACTTTGTGTGGTGGCCCCTCATTTGGCCATATGTTTCAGCACTTATCCCTTGTTCAGACTTGAGACATGATATCTTTTATTTAAAAAAAAAAGGAAAATGGTGCACATGGGAGCATTTTCAAGCGCACGTTTGAGTTGAAAGATGGGGAAGGAAGGATTAAGTAATTTTGAAGGAAATTAAATTTACTGTTTAGATTTAGATTTTGACTGATGAAATGTTTTCTGCTATCAAATTTGCCTTTATGGAAATACATAACGTGGCTTTGTCACGCTTTTGGATTGAATTATCAAAGGTCCAGGACTTTTAAATTAAAAAACAAAAATTCCAAAGTGGCGTTTGATACAAGAAAATTCATAATTTTTTTTTTTAAATTTTAACGATGAGTATTTGATTTTCATATTTGATTTAAAAAAATCAAATTTTTAATAGTATCTAAATTTCAGAATAAAAAATCTATTTTTTTTTGTAATATTTTAAGATTCCAATAAAAAAATTATATTATTTTTAAATTAACTTGAATAAAAATAATGTAATAATCATTATCTTTTTAAAAAACATGTTTTGGAAGTGATTATAATTTAATTGTAGATTTTCGTACAAAAAAAATTATATTAAAATTAAGGTGTTGGACATGAAAAAATATTTTAAATTATTTTTTTATATTTTTATAAATGAATTATAAACTCTTTAAATAATATTTTTATATATTTATAAAATGATTATTTAATAGTTTTTTTGTACAAAAATATCTTAAATAATATTTTTAGACAAATATAAATTAATTATTTAAGGTATTTTTTGTATTAAAATGTCTTAAATAATTTTTTATACAAATATAAATGAAATAATTCTTTTATATTTTAAGGTTTAGGGTTAATATTTTTATAAAATGATTATTTAAGTGGTTTTTGTACATAAAATACTTTAAATAATTTTTTTTATATTTTAAGATTTAGGGTTTAAGGTTAATATTTATAAAAAGTTTATTTAAGATGTTTTTTGTAAAAAAAAAAAAACTTAAATAATCATTTTGTAAATTAAAAATAATTATTAAATGATCTATAATATAAAAAATAAAAAAATTTATTTAAAACGTTTCTTTATAAAAAACACCTTAAATATTTTTTTATTTTTTATAAAATGATTATTTAAGACATTTTTGTATAAAACACTTAAATAATCTTTTTATAAATAAATTAAAAGAATATTTTTAATTTTTATGATGTAAAAAAGTGACAAGCACATTAATTGATCTTTTTTCTAATAATTTTTGTTACTCAAAAAAATATCAAATGCCTCAATTGATGATATTTTATAAATAAAAATAACAATCAAATAAAAAAATTTTTTTTTGCTAAATGTATTATTTTTTGTTTAGGTATTTATTATTAATAAAATAAATAAAAAATTGACATTATATATTTCAAAAAAGTATAATAATTATATAAAAATTAATATAGGTAAATTTTTCTTAACCAAATGAATGAATCTAAATATAAAATATTTTGAAAATAAAAAAAAATCTAAAATATCACACTTTTTCATAAATTACAAATTTTTTTTAAATCTTTAAATTTACGAATTAAGCGCCTCTTAAAAAAAACACATGTACGACATGAATAATGTCACAGCTCTTTGATTGGCTGGAAACACCGTCATGGGGTGGAACAACGCAGGTGCCACTGGATCACTTAACTTCTATCTTCACAGTTATTAAACGGATCTGCTTGGTTGGTAACTGGTTCATAAACCTCTTGTTCTCGTTCTGCTAAAATTAGAAATACCTCAGTTTCCTTTATAGAAAAGTGAAAATTTAAAAACGATGGCATTGAATTTGAGAATAGAATCGGTTCTCTTCACCTTTTAATGTGCATCTGAAGAAGCTTGAAGCTTCACTTGGTTGCTAAAACAACGAAAAAAAATATATACAAAACAAAACCAGACTGACTTCAAGATTCCGATCTGCAGTTGCTATTGTTTGTTGATTTCATATGAAATATAAGACTCAAATAATAAAAAAATATTTTAAACTTTATCACTTTACTTAATAAATTTTTATATCTTATTACATTCAAATAAACTTTTAAATTTTAATTTATATCCAAATAAATCTTTAATCTTAAATTTTTACTTAAGTAATTCTTAATATAAATCAATCATTTTTTTAAAATAAAAATTTATTTAAATACAAATAAAAAATAATTACTTATTTTAATAGAAGAAAAATATAAAAATTTATTTAAAAAATAAAATAATTCATGCGCTTTTTTTAACATTTTAGCCAAAATAGAAACCCTGTACATCAACTTGGCTCAGTGCTTGTTAGATTTTTTTGCCTTCTTAGGACCAAAATAAAAAATATATAAAACTGCCCTTTCTAAACAACAAACAGAACATTCTTCCCCAGTCATAGAACGAGGACCCTTTTTTTTTTTTTTTTTTTGTGTTTGTGTGCATGAAAAGTGGCCAAACTGGTTCTGTTTTGTTAGTACCATCCATTACAGTTGCAATTTACTAAGCTGATAAGAGATACGGAAATGATAAAGAGACCATTTCAGCGCATGTCTATGGCACAGAAGAGTTAAAGAGTACAACAGTTGTTAGATATAATACTGGAAAATTCGGTGGAAACAATGACAATTGACAAACATAAGTTCAAATGCTACCAAACCAACTTTACTGTTAATTTCACTCCCCAAATTTACATGCTTCACGTTGCTTCCTGCTCATCAACAAATAGGCATTTTATATCAAACATTCCACGGCTTTGGCATACTAAATTTCTTTTCTCCACATGTTTGCCATGATTGACTAAGGATGACGAGATTATACGCTACTGGTGAACAGGTTTCCCTTAAAAAAGTAATAATAGTGGACCAAAATGGAACAATCAAACCTGGAGTATCCAACCCACCAACTTTACTGCTATTAAATCAACAACTATCCTGACTTGTTCAAGTGTGAAAACGCATAGATATCCCTATCCTGTATCCATTGAGCTCAAGTATTATTACACAATTTAGCCAATTTAACAACTTATTTCTTCAATAAATGCATATTTAACCTTGCATCAGCATGCAACACGGGCATTAACAAACCATTGCAGATCACTTGCGGAAGGGGAAAAAAAGAAATAATCAGGAAAACTGAAATGATGCGCATTAAATCATTCTTTAATTCCTCATACGTTAGTACTACTGATTTGATATATGATGATTCTGACGAGGCAGAGAACAAAAAACTTGGGAAACAAAAAGTAAGAGAACCCCCAAAAAACAAAAAAAATCAATTTCTAAACATCCAACAACAGCATAGTTGGTTAAACTTACAAATTTAATTCATCTTGCAAAAATACCTCATTATAACAGAATATGTATAATATAAACAAATCACAGAAAATTTGCTGCCCTACTTGGTCAATAAGTAGTTATTTCTACTCCTAGCAGGCCCTTCTGCTCCTTGAAGGATCACTTCCTGTATATCCAAAACCTCTTAAGATGCTTCCGATCAGGTTTTTCACTATAATTTTACGCCTATGGACTATGTTAAATGCAATTGTGTGCTACCCAAGAGATGATAAGGGCTGTAAGGAATTTGATTCATGCGAAAATGCTTCAATTAACTTTTCCCTTGTTAGCTGCTCGGATCCTTGAGACTTGATAACAAAGGTATGAAACACAGCATCATCTGCCGCAACAAGTTTTGACTCAAGTACATTGATCTGAGCCTCTTTAAAAGCTTGGATTACTCTTGATGCTGGATGTGAATCTAAAGGAGATCTTACTCTTACAACAACCTCATCATGAACAGCTTGAACATCAATATCAGGAGGTAGGATATGATTCCCTGCATTTGCATTAGGATCCAACCCTGCCAAATCTCTCGAAGTACTACCAAACTTCTCCCTCTCTGCTTCCATGACCTTAAGTTTTGCCTGAAGCTCATTGATGTAAGCAATTGCATCTCCTAACAATGAAGCTTTGTCCATTTTGGATATGTTGGGCACCACAGCTCTTAAGGCATAGAACCGCTGGTTCAGCTTCTCACGCCGCTGCCTCTCTGCTTCAACATGATTAAGAGGTTCTTCTCTTCCATTAGCAGGCTTTCTACCCCTTTTACGTGGCCTCCTTTCATCAGCTGCACTCGTCTTCTCTTCCTTGCATGAAGCTTCAACATCCGAGTGCTCAGATTCACCACTTAATGGCCGAGTAATTGCAGAAGGCCTTGAAGTAGCCCCTGAGAAATTTATCTGCATTTGGACTGGCGTTTGAGACTGATAGGGGTTAAGCCGAAACTCTTCCCTAGTCCCACTAGCAAGCTCCGGAAAATTATTCGTTGTGTTTTGAGAACCATAAAATTCAGTTGGACTCCCTTGCTTCCCACCATGAACATGTGGCCAACCAGAACCATGAAGACCATTTTGATTACTTGAAAATGAAAGCCTACCACCATTAGCATATGCTCCCCATGTTGGTCTCTCTTCCATCTTTCTAACAGCAAGTTTCTCCCGATAATTGGAATGACCATGTGAAGTGTTGTTCAGATCCTGCCCGAAAATCTTTGGAATGCCTTCCACTCTTTCCACAATTCCCAAATTCGAAAAATGGGTATTTTCATCTTTCTTCTCATTCACCACTGGTATTGGTACAGCCATTTGCTTTGCCCTAATCAACGAGGAATTAGATGAGAATGAACTTCTTATTGATTGCAACAACTCTAAGCTTTCAGGTACAGATCTCACGGACCCCAATTCAACAACACCAACATCAGTAGGGACCAAAACGATAGTATGAACTCCAGCAGACTTAGCCAAAAATGACCTAAGACAATATTCCGAACCTGTTTTCAATGCATCAGAAATCCAAACATGCTTACCAGACGCAAAACACTTCCCTGGACCGCCTTCTCCAGGTGGAAAAGAAAAATACATGGATGCTAAAAAGAACATCTCAGTATCAGTAACTCTATCCAACCCAAGAGCATAATTATCCTCATCTAATCCACCAAACAAAGTATGCAATTTCTGCAAAACCCTTTTCCTCATCTTCTGCAAAGTCTCGTCTTCAAGCCGCATATTAAGAATCCGAGTAGCTTCAGATTCTTCTCCTTCTTTAGGCTCCCTACAACATCCATCTCCCCAACCAAGGACCCAATCGCTAGACTTGGACGTCGAAATTTGCCAAAAAATGGCGTAGTTCCAGCTAAAATTAGAAGCGTTAGGCCGTTCCACAAGATCTGAGAGCTTGTTTTGAAGATTCTCATCACTATTTATAGCCACTAAAAGGCTCTCATTTGAAACCGAGCTTGATATCAAGTAGTCAAATGCTCTTGTTCCTAAAACAGCGGCAACCATAGCCTTATCTTCATCGTTCCAAGCCCCACCTCCCATACCCACTTCAATTTTCATCCCTTAAACCACCCCCAAAAAAAACCCAAAAATCAAATAAAGATTAAATTTTTTCAAATACCCAGATCAAATCTCACCCCTAAAAACAATAAAAATTAAATCTTTTTTCAATGCATGTCTAACTAAAATAGAAACAACATGAGGTTTTCTTCACAAGCCCAACATAAAGCAGCCATTTTTTTCCCTTTTCAGATCCCACTGGCTTATAAATAATAAAGAAAACCCAGAAAAAATAAGCTAAATTAAAGCCAAAAACACATAATAATTGAAGATAAATAACAATACACACCAGTTTGCATGGAAAAGCAAATTTGGGATCAGCAGAAGAGTGTTCAAAAGTCTCAGGGCACCGTTCAAACAAAAAAAAAAAATATTTCCCCCCAGAAAAAAAAACAAAGTTTACTTAAGAGAAAAGCAGAAGAAGTAATAAGCCCTTCTTTTAATTTCCCTCTTTGCAGCCAATTATGCAGTAAAAAAAAAAAAGAGAGAGGATGGGGAGAGGGGAATTTGTTGTTTTTGTTCTTTTTCTCTTCCAAAATCCTAACTGGAATAATTAGACTATGGTTAGTGGAGATTAGGGTTACATACTAACCATGGTTAAAATTGTTGGGTTAAATTTTAATTGGTCGGAAGTTGAGGGGTAGTCGGCAATGATTTTGTTTTGGCGGTTTCTTTTTTTTTTTTTTTTGTCAAAATTTTTTTATTTATTTCCTATTGTAAGAAAAAGTAACATCCAAGGAAAAGATAATTTAAATTGTTTTTTAGATCTCTCTCTTTTTTTTTTTTTTTTCATGCGACTTTAAGCACAGTGCTAAGTTTGAATTTTCTTTTTTTATTCGAAAAATTTTTTTGTTAAAATTAATTAAGGATAATGAAAAAGGCTTTTTTGTAACGGGTACAGGTGGACATAAAAATGCGTGAATCTTATGCTAAACAGTGCCACGCAATAAGTTAGAGTTGCAACATGATTTTCTTGTGACCCCAATTAGGATTTTTCTAGTAAAATTAATAAAAAATAATTTTTTTAAATTATAATATTTGATTTAATTTGAATTTTTTTTTAAATATTAAATTTGAATTGAATTTATAATCAAAATTAAAAATAAATAAAAACTTAATTAAATCACATATAAATATTTATTAGTTTATATAGTTTTTAAATTTTTATAAAATAAAAATAATAATTTTATATCAAAATTTATTTAAATACATAAATTTTTATATTAAACTAATATATAAAATAATTAATTTAATAAATTAATAAATCGAATCGTACTTATAAAATTTGATTCAATTTTGATCGAATCGTATAAGTGATCAGTTCAAATTTTAATCGAATTTTAAATTTTTATAATATTATATAATATTAAAAAATTAAATCAATTTTAATTTAATCTGAACTATTATATCCTTTAATTAAGAACAATAATTTTCAAAATTAGAGATAAATGAATCAAATGTTAAATATATTTATCTTTATTTAAAATTTTGGGTAAAATGTTTTTATATTAAAAAAAATTAAATTTATAGATTAAAATTTGAGTTTGAAAAATACATCCTTTGATGGCTGACCCGTGATCGCCATATAAGTTGAGACAAACTGGCGTGTAAATTTAGATATTAATTTGGTATTTTTAATGATAAAAGTAGAAAATGTGAAGTTCAGTTATTATTTTTGGAAAAATCTTCTCTGTACCATCTTTAAAGATTGCAAACCAGATTTTGTTCTATTTTCATATCATTATTATTTTTGGTAAATTGATGTATGGTATCGAAAATAGTAATATTGTAAAAAAAAAAATTAACAACAAATTTTTATATATATTTTGTTACAAAATATAACTTGTAGTTGTCTATATTGGAACATAAAATAATTTATGTTGTGAAATTTTATATTTTGCAATATTTATACAAAAATACATAATTTGAATAAAAAGTTATAAAAATTTAAATATTTATTAGATATAATATAATATTATTTTAACAAATTTTCATCATGTATAAATTGAAATAAAAAAAATTATCACGTAATGAATTTTAAAATAATAATATAACAAAATATTAACTATGATATTATATAAAATATTTAATTTAAAATTAATTAATAATAAATTAATAACTCAATTTAAATATAAAATTATAAAAAATTAAATATTTATTAAATATTAAATAACATCACTTTAATATTTTTACATTATTTTTCTCTTATATATATATATATATATTCTTTTATAAATTTTTATGATACAAATCGGCAAGGTACAGCACAGTACAACGAGGTCTCTCTAACGGGAGACATTGATCGTGTTAGGGTAGGGTCCTAAAATTTAAGGTTTTGTTGTACCTTAAATTAACGATAATTAACAAGCTCAATTATACAAATAATATAGTTATAAGATTTTAAGTCTATGTTGTGTGTTTTGGGGCATCATGAGGTTGAAAGTTTAATAAAAAGCAAGACTTGGGAGACCAACAAATTTTGATAAGTTTGAGGTTTAATGTCTTAATAAAGATTAATTTGGTAATTATGGTCATAATAATGCATCCAATGGCCATGGCCCTTAATTGAGTAGAATCTAAGGCAAAACCAAAGTTGAAAGTGATAACAAACCAAAACAAAAAAAAAAAAAAAAAATCTGATTGTAGGCTCATTTGTTCAATTTCTGAGATAGATAGGTTATTTTATAATGAAAAATAATTTGTAAGTTAATACCAGTAAAGTTTTATCTTTCTTTAGGGGATAGGTGTGGGGTCCATTTCTGTGACAAATCTTTCTATAGATTGACGGTCCAGAGTGCAAGTCTGCTTGGAGACGCTGATCTCTTTCCCTGTATATGTTACAGACATAAAAATCTCCCCAAACGCCCACAATTACCAGACTTGCTTTTTATTTTTCTCCTGAAATTTCAGGTGCACCCAGTGGCAGTATAGTAAATATACGTATATATATTTGCTAACAATTGTCTTAAAGCACTCTTTGAACTTATCTTATTAGAAGTAAAAAAGTATAATTATCTTACTTTTGTTAAAATTTAGATTCCTCGTGATCTTATATTAAGTTGAGATAATTTAATTATAATTAATTAATTTTAAATTAAATACTTAATAGATAGTGTGAAGAGAATAACATAGGATTTCTTCTACTTCCATAAAGATTTTTGCCGGATTATAATTATAGCAATCTATTGGTGAAAGAAAAGGCTAGTTAAGATGATTAGAGACAAATGGGCAGATTGGAAATTTACATATAATAATTATGAAAATTTTAAATTATATTAATATTATATCAATTTAAATTACAAAGATTACCCATAACTCTGGGCTTGCAGGTAACGTGATCTAGATAGGTGAGGTCAAACTTAAAAAAGGACCAAGGCAAATGCTTTAAAAAATAAACAGTAAAAAGGTTGAATTTTGAATCGAGCACTTGACGGACCGTGATAATCACCACCAAATAGTTCTTCGACAATTAATTAAATTGTCGTCCACGACGCAATGTTAACGTGACGCATAGAGGTTTTTGAATATTAGAACGAGTCTTTAAGAAATAGAAAATTGAATTAAATAAAAATCACGAAATACGCAGCGCAGGTCGTCCTCGTCCATCCATTACGCGTTTTGTAACTGAAAAAAGGATTCACGTTTAACAGAGAACAGGCGTGCCACGTGCGGTATTTTCTAAGTCTCCTACGCACGTGTCCGCACCGCATGTTGTTTCTTTTATCGATCTTATCGAACAAACACACCGATTAAATATTAGTAAAAACATTTACTTTTATAATATTAAATTAATTAAACTTACGAGAAATCGGGAAAAAGAAGAAAAGGCAAAAGGGGGACGTTGGAGAAGGAAAAAACAGGCGAAAAGCTCGTGAAGAGCACGTGACAGTAACGTGAATTGAGGTTGGGTTTTAGAGTGAGAAGAACGTGACGTGCATTTAATAAAATCAGTTTCTTTTTAAAAATATTTTGCGGAGCTAAATTTGGAAAATAAAACAGCTATTGGTGTAACGTGTTTGGCGTGTGTCTGTATTTGATAATCCCACGACATTTTTGTTGTCTGTACTGACGTGTCAATATCTGCTATTCCATCACTTCTTTGGTCCATTCCCATTTTACCATTTTCGCGCCCTGCCTGTCCCCGTCGCTTTGGCTGCATCGGCGTGCAATTCCAAACTAAGTGCAACAACCCAGAAAAAAAAAAAGGAAAACAATTAAATACTTTTAATATAACTAATTCAACACTACGAGGCTTTTAATGGGTGAAAAGAATATTATTTGTGTTAATAATGGGATGAAAAAAATTTTTCTATTTAGGAGGATAGTTTCGTCTTTAAGCAAGCAGGAACTGGACGTACGTATGCAGAGACAGAGTTATGTGCTTGAATTTGAAATACGTAGCACAAGCGAGAGAGAAGTCTTTGGCATTTGGGTGAAACGAAAAGAAAATGTGAAATGTTTTAGTTTCAGCCGCATGCGTCCCTTCCCACCGCTGTCACAGTGTCACTCACATGTTATGCACCGACTTTTGGCCCACTCAAATCATACAGCTGTTTTCTTTTTTAAAAAATTCTACAGTATCAATGTACTTGGTAGACAATTTTCATTTTCCAACAGTAGCCATGCTTTTTTTTTCATATTTATTTTTTTATAAAAATGAAACTTCAAGTTTTTCTTATTCTATTTTTTAATATTAATAAAAAATTACTTTTAATTTCAATCTCAGACTTATAAAATATAATTTACTGTCGTGAGAGGAATTGATTTGAAGAATCTAAGTACGGAGTAAAAAATATCAAGGAGGATATACCAGTTTTTCACGTGGTGACAGAGGTGGGTGTTTGAGGCATTGCATTAGTCAAAAAGGACAGGTTGAAGAAGCACCGGCATTTAACTATTAGGATAGAATATAAATGCTGTATTTAAGAAAATAAAATCATAACCAATAATAAAAGGTCAAATAGGCTACCCTCACTAGGAAGGATGCCATTACTGCTTTGATTTGAGATGATTGCAAAAATCCAGCAATTTTCTTTTATAATAATGGATAAAAGGCTCGTGAAGCCAAACTTAAGCTAATTTACTTATCATTATTCTTTTCGTAATATATTTTAATCTGAACCAATATGTAAAAAATAAAGTGTTTTCCTTTATAATACTTTTAAATTCATTGAAATAATGCTACCCAAATTTTTTAAAGAATTTCCAATTAGCATTGGATGAAAACGGAAGTGCATAGGCATGGAAAGATGGATGGGTTGTTAACTGGGGAGAGGTCCGAGAGAATTTTGGCCGACGAACCATAATTGCAGAGCCAGCTCGGTGGAGCTTTATAATTTATAGAGGCTTAGGCTTAGCCCTAAAATTAAAAAATGAGTGTCAGGCACGAGTCGAAGTGTAGAACGTGTAATGACCCTTGTGGGGTCACAAAATGCAACCAACCCAACCCCTGTTGCCGGTGAATGGCACGTGGTGAACGTGTCTGGAGTGTCTAATTTTGGCCTTTGAATAAATTGTCCCAGTCCTGCCCCGAAAGCGAACCCATACCAAAAGCATTTACTTTGCCTTTCCAGTACGTTTTTTATGTCTTAGATTCCTTAATTGTAATCCTAATGTACTATTTTATTTATTATAATTTAAAAATTATTGAAGGATA